CACTAAACAACAGGGGAGTAGCTAAGGGGAGGTCCTGGGGTGCCCATGTCCTCCCTTTTTAAGCCTTTTTTAAGCAAACAACCTACAACAGGTGGCAAAAATTACGTGACAATCTGGTGAGTACCCTCACTTTGATACAGTGTGACCCCTCCCCTTGAAAAATCCTGACTATGCCCATGAAGAAAATGTCAGAGAAAACTCAACAGTTGATAATGTTACCTTTATTCCTCTGCAGTTCTTTATTTGCCTCTTTGTAATCCTTGGCCTTGAAATTGCTGCTGGTGTTTTGGGATATGTGAAACGCAACGAGGTTTGTGTAAATTTACCTTCATTTTTGTTGCACATAAATAAGATGGTAGAAGGAACCTTCCCTATATAAAATCACCTTTCCTCTTATTCACTAGCTACTCATAGTAATCGTTCATGTTTCAGGTACTTTATCATGTGCCTTTGTAAATACAGTTCCCTGACTCTCTGGGTGTAAGGAAAGAAAAACATGAACATCTTTGTTATCACCAGACTTGCAGTGCTGTTCAAAATTGAGTCAATACCTTACAGAGCAGTCTGTACCCTTTTGACTTGCACATTTGTTCCACTGTCAGGTTGTAGTAAAAACTTGTACTGAATGGGTAGCCTGCATAGCCGGTGTCCATTTCCAAAAGCACGCAAAGGGAACAAAACTGCAAGTGCGGAAAAAATGAGGAGCAGGAGGAGGGGTGGGGTGATCCTCCACACCCGGTCTCCCTTCATTCCATGAAATAAAGCAAATAAAGTTTGGTTTGGCAGTGGATTTTTTTTGCACTAATCAAGTGACATGAGGCAACACAGGCTGGGTCCTTTGATTTTTTTTGCTCACCCCTTCCCACATCTCCCCAGTTTTTGCTCACCCTAAACCTGCTTGTTGCTCACTCGCTTGGTTGATCTCCCCTTTGCCTTGCTAGGCAGTTCCTTAGTCTACTGTCTTCCACTTTCCACAAACAAAGATGTTGGGGTATGGACAAGGAAACCAAGCAATCTCCATAAACGCAATATGCAAATGACCATGTGCAAGTGTCATATAGAAAATTCTTTTTGCTTTAAAAGTGTGACATTCTGAACTAAAGGTGTCGAATGAAAACAATGTTAGAGAAACTTTGTTCAAACTTGATTTTATCATTCAAGATGAAGCCAAGAAATTTAGAGGCAGAAAAAGTCCAAAATTTCAAAAACATGCGGTTTTGCCTTCAGGGTGTTCAAGTTTTAATTATTCACTGTAATAAAAGCATAATTTGAATATTATTTTTGCTGATGGCTTAGCAGCTTTACTGGAAAACTTGAATATCCAACTTCCGAGTGATACTATACATTCATTTATCATTTTGTTTACTGAAGTCTTG